AACTCAAATTAAATATTGAAATATATTTGGAGGACATTTTAGCATGTCTAAATGTTCTAGCTTTGCACCATCAATTATATGTTGGGGTTTTTTTTCTGCTGCAATTATATTTACTAACCTACAGATCCTTTTACCTTTAGAGTATCTGTCAGTATAGTAACCAGCCAAGCATTTGAAATCCTGAACAGCTTTGCAATGAAGGGAGCTTTAATGAAGCTCAGCTCTGTTACAGTTTCTAAGCAGGCTGTAAAATCTCTCTCACTTTGGTCCAGCTACTTGCCATTTTTTAATTGAGAATTATGATTATACAAGAGGCTTAGTCTCAAAAATGTCTTGTTAGATGTTATGAATTCAAAACAAAAAAAACCCCAACCAATGAAACAAAAACCAACAAACACATACACCCAAAACCAGCAAACAAACTCCCCCCAAAAAACCCAAAACAAAACCAAAAAGCACCCCCCAAAAAACCAAACCAAAATTATAGTTTTAGAGAAAGCAGCAGATGAGAAACAGGATCTGAGACAGGTACAGAGTTACAGGCTGAAGTGATGCTTTTCTGTTTCTGATTTTCCTTGTCACAGCTTGGGGTCTTACAGTTGCAGAGCTTTGTTTGAATGACGTTCCTGGGATTTTAAACTGAGAGAACAGGGGGTGTGAGGTACCAGTGCTGTGAATCAGCAGAGGGCACTACGTGCCAATAAACCTGTGTGGCTGTGAATTAACATGCATTGACAGCCTCGGTGAAGTGAGCATCAGTCCAAGGTTTAGATGGTTTAGCTGAGGGAATATCAGTGCTCAGCGAGAGCTGACTTTATTTATAAGATGTTTATACTGTGCTATGAAAAATGCATGGATCATTGTCAGCAGGGGCTTCAGTTCACCGTGCTGCATCTCACTACATACCTGGGTATGTAGTGTTTAGGGGAGCCTGAAGTTGTCCTGGGCCTGCAAAAGCAGGTTTTCTCCTGAGAATCCCACTCTGCATTGAGATCCTGATATTTCCTGGCAGTCCTTTCTCAGCTAAGCATTTTCTCACTGTCACATTCATGGAGGTGCATGAGATCTGTTCCCTGTGCCCTCCTGAGTGCTGGGGCTGATATTCAAGGGGCTACTGATATTCAGTTGTCATGTTGTGGGATTTTTTTCCCCCTGTAATAACCCATTTCTTATGTCAGCTATGTGACCTGAAACAGACCTGATGTATAAAGAAATCTTATTTCTGCACGACTTGCACAGCTCCATCATAACTCAGCCAAGTGCTGGTTGACGTGGAGCAGATGGCTGAGGAAAAATCTATGGGGAATTGTAAAGTTTGTGACAAACACCAGGTTTCTCATTTCCCTGCTGGTTTATTCCTGGGAGAGCTGGGTTGCACGAGTTTTCCCCCTTTAGTTTCAGCTTCTTCAGTGAGCTTCAGCCCCTCTGCAGCAACAGCCTCTGTGAGCAGCGAGTGATCCATGCAATGGCAGGCAGATGTGCAACTGCTGATGCTGCTGTTGCGGATTTTTGAAGCTGTGCAAGTGGCATCATGAAACCATTTCTGAAATTTTATATGCAAATAAAAGAAGGGCAAGAAATACTTCTGAGCATCATAGAACTGGTGTTGAAATAGCGTGTCAAATGACTGGAAGGGATGGTTATTGTTGACGGTTTTATACAGCTCTGATTTAGGTATAAAAATATTTGAAAAGGAAATGTTTTGTGCATCTTGGGGCATGCAAGTGCCTTGTTATTCTTTAGAGATTACACACCACCAGGAGGCACAGAGAATGCTATTCCTAGCAAATAAGCAAATTTTGCCCAAATACAAGAAAAGTTTTTGTGTTTGCAAAAATGCAAATTCAGCACAAGTGAAGCTGAAATGTTTTGGTTTGCTGGTAGCTACTCAGAGCCATCTGTAGTCTTTCTTTGCTGCTGCTATTTTTGCTTCTGTGTAGAGCCTAGTCTGGCAGTCTCTTCTCAAACAAAATTCTGATTGACAGCTCCTGGAGTTTTGGTTGTGCAAGAAATAAGGATCAGGCCTTAGGAGCTGCCTTAGGAGCTCTTGAAAGTAACTTTCACAGCAAGCTCGCTACCTTTGATGGCTGTTTTTATTTTTTTTTCAGGGAGAAGTTTGTTCCTGTTCTTTATGAGACTTACCACCCCAGATTCCTACACAAGAGACATACCCAAGGTTTTCCTTTTGGCAGTTCAAATGCAGTGAAATAGAAGAACAGTAAAACAGAAATATGGTCTGTGTGTCTCTTAGCCGTGCACTCATGAGGAAGCACTGCTGGGAATTCACAGGACTTGAGTTAACTCAGAGGGGATAACTGGCTTAGGATTGCCTCTGGCAGACCAGGAGGCTCAGAACAAAATCAATAATTAGAGTAATCCATTCTGATGCTGTCCTGGTTTTCTTGAGCACAGCAGTATGCTTGTTTCATAAACCTAAATTTGGGAAATAGCAGATACTTGAAGCCAAACTGTTAAGCTCTGGCTTTGGAATATTTATAATGAAGGCTCCAGAGTTCAGAAGAAGCCACAGTAAAATTGACTTCTTGAGGCCACAGGCCCAGTTATGGAATTCTAATGTGCCCCAAAAGGCAATTTCCAACATGGTTCAGATGTTATCACCTGGGACAGGAGAGGTTTTGCTCTTCTCTCACAGCCCTTTGGCAGCCACATATGAATTGATGTATGCCCTGCTGTAAATTGATTCCGTGTGAAGAGATTCCATAATAATACCCAGATGTTCATGCTTGGACCAAATGCCTCTAATGAAACAAACTTTTGGTTCATCTCCATCTACAGGAATATATTTTCCCAATTCATGATTTTGTTTTCCTGACTCAAATATTTTCATACAGTTGAGCACAAAAGATGCAGAAATGCACTTTGGTTTCACTTTGAATGAAAAAAAAATAAAGACAAGCCTCTGTTTTCTAGGTGAACCTGTGCCATAATATCCATCCTTAAACTGGAAGTGCTAGGTTTTCAACTTTGGTGCCTCTGGCACATGAAGTGACCGGAGATGTACTCTAGCTGTGACAGAACTTCTGATTGAAAACTTAAAAAAATTGGATTTTGGCATTGTAAAAAACATAATTTATCCTCCAAAGCACTGCAGAATTAATTTGTTGCCTTGTAGCTACTTCTTGTCCATTTACCAAAGAATTAAATACTTTCCTCTCCATTTTGCTTTCTTCCTAACTTTCATTGCCTTGGTGTTTTTGACAAGGATTCCATTGGAGACTTCTGTCCATAAAGAATAGGTGAAAAAACAGTTTCTTCTTCAGTTTCTCTGACCTGTTTGGGAATTTTGTAAACTAATTTTCTCTTACTCATAGGTTTGATGTTTTTCTTACTGATTCTGAGTATCCTTCTCTATGAATTAAAAGTCCTCAAAGGTATTAGCCGGCATTTTTAGAAGTTATATCTCATTTTGTTATTTTCAGACCAAGTTTTGAGTCTTTCAGGATCCCTTTGTGCCCTTTTACTGTATTTTCTGGTGCCTGCAGACACCTGAAAATTTGAATAATGTGCTCTCTGTCCCTTCTTTCGCTGTATTAATAAAGAGACCAAACCAGACCTGACATTTCTTTGAGTAAGTGGTCTTTGGATACTTCTCTTCAAAAAGACACTGTTATTGTTGTTACTTGATTACAAATATTAAATCCTGGTGCAGTATGATTTTGTTAAGCCAGTGTAAATACTTTTTTAATGATGGACTGGTGTGGCACTGCCTCAAATATCTACTAAAAGTTAGTACTTCTACTGCTTGACATTCATGCTCACACAGTGCACACTTAAATGCATAATTTAATACAAATTTTGAAAAATCAGCTGTGGCATGCAATATGGCCTTTATTAGTTATCTTTCTTATGGACTCCACAATGCATTGTGAAAAAAAAAAAAAGTGCCCACATAAAGCTAATGAGCCTTTCCTTGTGAATTTTTAAAGCTATTAGGCTGCTATCCATATAGTCAGCCAGGGAAATCCCATGTAAATAAAGCAGCTCTACAAATTACCCATTGTCTTCCACTCTTAATTAAGCTAGACTTTCTGAATATCTAGTAATGGAGATTTAGATACAAAAAATCTGATTATTAAATATGGAATTATGTAATTAGGATGTTGGTATTGATCACAGTGTCCCACCTTAATTTACAGCTAGGGGTCTTGGACTGGAACAATAAGTCTAATTAGTAAATGCTACATTTTCTGCAGGGCTAGTAATTTTTAGGTTACCTGAAACTATTTTTTTTTAGCATACAATAAAGCTTATTACAACTACTTTTGCCTGATTTCAAAAGGAAAAAAAAACAAACCCAAACTGCTAAATGCAATTAAGTGTTTGCATTAAAAGTTTGGAGGGAAAAGGAAATAAATAAATGAATAAATGAATAAATAAATATCTCCTTTTCAGTAGCAAATAGACAAATTTTTTTGCTGTTGTTTTTTGACATCAGTCAAACAGTGCTGTTTAATCTCATTTTATTGCTCTGATATTAGTGACTCTTCTGCAGGGTGTTAGTTTGGTTGCCCAGAAGTGCTGAATAAGAGGCTTCAAAGGTAAAGTATCAGTTCTGCACTGACTTGATAAAGTCTGACTTGCAAATTCAGCTGTGTATCACACCTAAATTGCACATCCAGAATAACCAGAATAACCACACAGAGCTGGTTTCCCAGGATCATGTTCAGGTAACCTCTGGGTATTTCTGAGGATGGAAGACCCCACAGCTTCTCTGGGCAATCACTGCCAGTGTTCAGGCACCCTCATGGTAAAAAAGCATTTCCTGATGTTCAGAAGTCTTGTGTTTCACTTTCTGCCCCTTGTCCTGTGTCCTGCACACACACACAATGGCCCATCAGAAGCTGTCACATGGATTGATTAAATTTGTGCTTTTTGTGGACACTTAGCCTTTTGGTGCCTCTTCCCACTCCTGGAATCCATGGTTATGGTTATCTTTTGGGGGGTTGTTATGATGTTTTTGTTTGTTTTTCGTCTTGTAGGGTAAATCTTACCCCTTTAAAGGCCCATTCCCTCCCATGTGGAATCCCTTGGCCTACCTGGACTACAACAACCTATGGAGGACCATGGATGAAATGGGGAAGGAGGTATGGAGCTGAATCAGCTCAGCTTGTCTCCACGAGGGGCAGAGGGAAGGGATTAGGGTGCAGACAGGCAAAGCTGCTCTGGCTTGAACAAACCCAGTGTTGGCAAGGGCAGCCACATGTTTTGGTACACACTGATGGCCAGAGCACATCTGAGAGTGGCCTCCTGGCAAGCTCTTCTGAGTCCTGTGCTGCTGAGGCTGTCTGCACACATCCCTTTGTTTTTCTGGTTATGGGAATGTCAAGGTTTTATGCCTGTGATGGATTTTTACTGCTTTTCCTGATGATTTGTAACTAATGTTTTAAGAGGCTTGTAGAACTTAAACATTTGCCCTTTTCTACCCTGAAATTCAACTTGTCTGTTCTAGTTTGTTACCAATTTTCCATTGACTGAGCTACAAAATTTGAGACTCTTAATTGTGGAGATAAATATGAAAGATATGGAATAACTTAGAGACATTTCTTACCTCTAAAATTGTTCTCTAGTTTTTAATCTTAAAAAAAATAAAAATGTTAAAACAAGCAAACAAACAAGCCCCTCCTCTGAAAGCATTCTCTCTTAAGTTCACTGTGCTACCTGCCAGAAATCTTCAGGCTGAATTAGCATTTAAAGACAAGACTATTTGTATTTCTTTGCCACTCTTTCACTTGCTGATAAATGCTTTTCTTTGTCTCTCCTTAGATTCCAAATGAAGCTCCATGGAAGGCTCCACATGCAGAAGAATGGGACAAAATGACTATGCAAGATTTCATAGATAAAATATGCTGGACAAAGTAAGAAATGGTTTTTTATATGAAATATAATGGCTTTAATTTATATACCTTAGAGCTCCAAATAAGCATTACTGCTTTGCAAACAGGTATAGCTATCACCAAAATACAGCCCTTTTAAAGAAAAGGGGTGAGAAAGTGCTGTAATAATGGACCACGACACCTGTCAGCACACTCAGTAGATTCTGATACATTTCCTTAACTTTTTAGACAAAAATAACAATAAAAATAAAGTATATTTGGGAAGGGTTATTTCTGAAGAGATGGGTAGTACCCTAATCTGTTATGTGCACTTCCCTGCTCTTTACTGTGTGTTTAGCCTTTAAGAGAAAAATGTTATGGTTGCAGCAGGTTTTTGAATCAAACTCTTGATGGAACAATGCACATTTATTCTGTGCTGGGCCAGCTGATTTTACCAAGGTGCTGTAAAGATAACCTTTGTCTTTCAGTAGCACTAAATCACTTTAGCACTCATCATTCTATTGTTTAGCTGTTGCACTATATACCACCCAGGGAAACTGAAAATGCTTCCTGTTTTTATGTATACTTCAAGGCAATTTTTCTTTACTTGCCATTCAACAGCAATTTGATTGTTTTTCTTCTCACTGAAGGAAAAAAAAACAAAAACAAAAAAACAAAAAACCAAAAACAAACCATTAATTCTGGTTGCTGTAGAGCAGATTGATTTCTACAGCAACCTCTTCAGAATTTCTGAGCACCCAGCACAGGGCTGCCAGGAGCTGGAGCTGAGTGAAGAAACCTGTCAGTGCCCACTACAGCTGGTGCAGCCAGTGACATCTTTATGGGGCATTTTTATGGCTTCAGGCAGCCTCTAGAGAGTGACACAGCCTTTGTGGTTTGTGTTGGACAGACTGTTGTCCAAACACTTGAAATCTTCTGGTTCAAATTTTGCTTCCACAAGAGTGACAATTGCACATAAGCCTACAGAAAACCTTTCTCATTTGTACCATGGCTCATTCTGACTAAAACCAGATGGAAATGTGTGCTGACAGCTGTGCTAAGCCTCAGACAGGGTGCAGCACTGTGCAAGGGAGCAAAACACCACACACTGGTGCTCACCCAGTATCCAATAGCTCATGTGACCCCAGTTGTGTTTTTTCCAGCTCTGATGGAATATAAGACTTGACATTTTACCTGAATATTGGCATCAGCTAAAGATGCTTTTCAGATTTTATATGTGCATCTTGGCTTGATTTGCTTGGTTTGTTCAAGATTGAGGTAACATGCTGCAGAAACTTCCCACCCTGGCAGGTAATGATCCAGAAGGGCAATCTTCTACTCTTTCCTCTTATCGAACAGACTGTACAGGTTTGCTTTTGGCTAGAGCTGTGTGCTGGAAATATCCTGAGTGCTCTTGGTTGAAATCATACTGCCATTTCTAGATAAAACATCAGGAACTGAAAAGCAGTGGGAGAAGGTGGCAGAATCTGGTAGAAGGTAACCACAACGTTATAGCATCTTTTTATAAAATATTAATAAATACATTAATTATACATTTACATACATTAGGCAAAACATCTCATAGAGTTTTTTACAGTATGTGTTTATAGAGATGAAAAACTCACAAAAAATTTCTGTATTATTTTTGGCTGTCAAGAATGAATTCAGAATTCACCTATTTTTCAGAAAATGGATTGGCTTTGTACTTGAGTGGAACTTTGCATTTTTTGGAAAGAAAGAAGATGCTTTTTTCTATATAGATCTAGAGCTCTTTGAAATACCATGTTAGAGTTACTTTTTTTTTTTTTTAAGTTTGAAGACTAAACCAAAAGAAAGAAGCAACCAGAAGTGAATTCTGCACTGGCTTTGACGCCTTACACTTGAATTATCCGTAGAATCTTCATCCCTATCTCAGTTACAATGCAGTTAAACTGAGCAGCTTCTGGTCCTGTTCATGTCTCTTTAAACTCCTCCTCAGAGTGAAGGCAGAGGGAAGTATTTATTATTGAAAGGAGGAATATTTCCCTGAGCATGAATTAACTCTGTCTTAGTGCACCCCAAAATCTTGTAGAGGCTTATACAGTAATTTACAATAGAGCTGCTATGAAATAAAGCAGTGATCCCTTTTCAGACACAGATCAACTTTCTGCTTCTGTGTTCATTGCCACTGGACACTTTAAAATACTGAGTTGAGCTACCAAAATTATTCTTTCACTTCTTTTTTCTTCCAGACTCTGGCATGAGTGATGTCTCTTCTGCTATGGCTTCCTACTTATATTTCTTTCCTTGTTGTGTTCCAGCTGCAAAACTCTCCCTGGGCACAGCAGAGGAGTGGGCAGTGAACAGATGCTGACTAATCCATAGGTTTTTAAATAATAGATATTTAGCTTAGAAAAGACCTCTAACTTTTTTTCCCATGAGTTTTGAATAATAACTCTGTGCTGTGTTCTTGAGGGGACAGGCAGGGGCAGACAGAGCTGTAGATCTGGTTTGTGACCCAGGAACTGGGGACAGGGTGGTTTTGGAGTCCAGTGAAGACAGGAGGGCTTGCTGTGCTTTATCCTGTGGCTAGGATGACAGCCTAACTTTGCATTAGCAGAATAAAGTGATATTATCTTGGGCTTTTGTGTCTCTCAATGCCCCATTTTCTCTGGAATACAGGAGTGTTTCATTAATATTTTTTTCAGGATTACTTGAAAAATGTTGCATAAAAGGAATTGATAATTCCTCACTTCAGCTGAAGGAATCCTTTGCCCCCACAGTGGAAGAGAAGGTTGGCCAAAGAGAGGCTCCTGCCTACTCAAGAACAATCTTGTCAGCATTATTCTGTTTTTAGATTAACTAGCTCTCTTGTCCTTGTTGCAGAGCTGCCAAGAGTTTTGCAACTCTATTTGTGAATGTGGATGTCACTTCTGAACCCCACGAGGTCTCTGCCCTTTGGTTTTTGTGGTACGTGAAGCAGTGTGGGGGCACAGCAAGAATATTCTCAACGACCAACGGGGGACAGGTACTGTCACCTCCTGCAGCTCTTGGCAGGCCCTGCTTTAACTTCACCCTTTTGCTGGTTTATTTTACTCCAGAGACATCCATGACTTTTGAGACAGTAGCACACTGATAACTAGTTTTATTCATTTCCTCTTTAACCCAGATCTTGCAAAACTAGTGTTGAAGATTGCTGCCTACTGAAGGCATTGTCCCCCGGGATCAGAGGATTTGTATCTGGCTTTTTTTTGGATACAGATTAAAACATGTGCTTAACATATTTATCCACGTTGAAAAGAGGAAACTTTACTTATGGCTATTTCTGTCATGAGGCTGAAGGCATCCTTAGCACTGCAGAAGCATTTAATGGAGATGGCAATGTCAGCTGCAAGTTAATACTGAAATTGTAGCCCAGAGCTAGGTTCCTAAGATGCAAATTTCTGAACATTAACACCATTAAGATTTTAAAATCAGTCTAAAGAAAATTAACACCCCTGCTTAAATATGGTATTGCTTTGGAATGTTTGCAATCTGCTACATTAGAGCTGCTTTTGCATTTGAAGAAAGTAAAGACTGTTAACAATCTTCTACTTAAGAAGTGCAAATTTCACTAATTGTGTTAGAAAAAGATATATTTTTAGAAATGCTGATTATTTAATCATAAATAAAAATGCAAATACTTTAACCATATGAAAATGCATAATTATGCATAGATAAGCAATTACTGTAGATAAATTAAGTATGTTTAATATTATCTGAATTCTGTATTATGTTAGAGATGATTTGAGTTTAAGTTGGGTTGAATTACATACTGCAGCAGACGTTTTTGATGTGAGCTATGTTACTTCTTACATTTTGTTATTTATTATGAAGATCAGGTTTCCTGCTTCTGCTGCACAGAGCTCTGCAGGGATGAGTGAACTCAGAGAAAGGTTTGAAGGTTTAAGCACTTTTCAGAAGTCTTGCTGATTCACACAGACCTGTAGAATCTTTTTGGAGACCACATTTGGAGAAGGGATTTTCTTATGAGGTTACTATTACTTCTAGTTTGACTAGAGTTCAAATGGTGGTCAGATATGGGAAGGATTTGAGAAGCTGCTGGAAAGAGATACATGTAAAAGCAAAATGAGTACATTTCCAGGTGAGAGTGCAAAAATTCCCCAAAAATGTTTTGATAACAATGGAAGAAGGGGATGTGTTTTGAATGCCAAGAGAAATGCTTGTCACGGTACACGCTCCGTAAGCACTGCTCTGCTGTGCTGTTGTTTTTGTGCTTCAGGAGAGGAAGTTTGTTGGGGGCTCTGGGCAGATCAGTGAGAAGATCATGGAGCGCCTGGGGGGGCGGGTGAGGCTGAGGAAGCCGGTGGTGCGCATCGACCAGTCGGGGGACAGCGTCATCGTGGAAACCCTGGACCATGAGTTATATGAGGTAATGGCATATCCACTAAGAAATCATTACTGGTGGGATGGGTGGCTACAAAACCTTTGGCTTCTCCTTTTTGACTTCTCCAAAGCCCTGTACGAAAATGCAGCAGAGATTTAAGTGGCTGTGACAGAAAGTCACATGTTCTCATTGTCCTGAAGTAACAGTAGCGTAGGAGCTTTAAAGTGATGCCTAAAAGCAAAGTGTGGATTCAGACTTTTCCTTTCCTGGCATCTCTTTGTGCTCAGTTACCTTCTGAATTAGAGGGTAATTTGTAAGGTGTAAAATGTAATTTAGCAACAAACTTTCAGTGAAAGACATTGCAAGCTTGGTTTCCAAGTTGTAACAGAGTCCAGATGGAAGGGAGACAAGTGGACTCTTAGGGCACAGCACTTTCTTTTAAACACCAGGGGAAGGGCTGCTGCCCATCATTGGAACAGATGGCTGTTTATGTAATGATTGTTTGCTATCTAATGAGCAGGATTTTTTGAGGGTTTAGTTTTGCAATTCTTACGCTAAATGCCAAAATTGCTTCACAAGATACACCCTGCAGCCTCCCCAGATGTCCGCTAAGACCATTAGAGCAGTACGCTTGTGCTGAAGTAGGGGAGGACGTATTTGGCTTATGGATAATTTCTTTTCCAGTGCAAATATGTGATCAGTGCCATTCCCCCAGCTCTTTGTCTGAAGATTCATTTCAACCCACCTTTGCCCCCAATGAGGAACCAGCTCATCAACAGACTCCCCATGGGCTCAGTCATCAAGTGCATCGTGTACTACAAGGAAACTTTCTGGAGGAAGAAGGGTATTGCATTTTAATTGAAAGGAGCAGTAGTGACAGAGAGAGGGAAGACAGTACCTGGCAACAGAACAGACTCTTTGTTCAGAGCATGCTAAGCCTTAGAAGGAGACTTCATATTCTTCTATGCCATTTTTGCCTTCCCCTGTGAGAGAAACTTGAGAGACTGGTTGGGAGGGTGGATGAGGGAATAAAAAAATGAGTCAGTCATGAAGGGAGAGTTCATGCCTGTTGCTTGTTGCCTTGGTTGTTCTGTTATCCTCTCCTTGAGTGGCACCTGGGTATGAGATGAGCCTCTCTCACTTGTACAGGGATGTAAAGGTACAAGTGATGTGTGATGGCTGGATCTGTAAAACTTCTGATTTCTGGATGGACTGGTCAGCATTGATTGAAGGTGTCTTCACACAGACATCCCCAGCTGGCCTAGTCATCCTGGGCTCCTTTAACATGCTGAATGGTTCCATCATGAGTCCTCTTTGGAATTTACTGAATCCAAGGCAAACTGCAATGCAGTAACATCCACTTCTCATTATTTGCTATAATGAGGCCACATCTGTTCACCTACAAATATAACCCACCCCCATCTTTGGGGAAGAACCATGAACTTGAGGGTTCTGGATCCTGTCATGTGCTAGCTATTAGTCTTGGGATGGATCAGCAGGAGGTGACTGAGTATTTTACAACTTCTTGTAAGCTCCTGCATTTTGATTCATGGATCCTGACTGCTTTTCCACCTTGTTCTTGCCAGGGTATTGTGGTACCATGATCATTGAAGATGAGGATGCTGCAATTAGTCTAACACTTGATGACACTAAGCCTGATGGCAGCTTTCCTGCCATAATAGGGTAAGGGAGGACAAAGAAAGTGTCTTGTCTAGTTAATGCTTTTTATTTTGTCTTAGAGGAAATAATTGAAGCAGAAAACCCAATACTTTTGAAAGAAAATACTTTAAAAATAATTAAAAGTTGAGTTTCTCAGGTCATGATAATGTTTTATGATTGTTTTACTTCAGAAATTTCCTCTGTGATTTCATTGCCAGTTTAAAAAATTAAATTCTCTTTCTCCTTTTTATCACTGTTGTCTTTTGCCTCTGTGTGTGGCAAAGTACAAACTTGGAGAAGAGGAAAGGAAAGAGAAGAAAAAAGAGAATGATTGCAAAAATGTAAAGTTTTCTCCAAGTACTTCAGTTTTTTAAATGAAAATTTGTTTTCTAGAATTAAATTTTATTTTGTTCTGGTTATTTTAGCAATATGATCTATGATTTAGAGACTATGATCAGTCTTAAAAGTTTTATTAAAAAATGATTTCCAGCTCAATCCCAGGTTTCACATCATTGCTATGTGCCTGCACCCAAGGCTGGATAAAATTAAAGTAATGGGAAACAGCTCATGCAAATATTCTAACATGAATTTCAGAGTGGTTCCTTCCTAAATGAGTCCTGCAAGCAGCAGGTAGGGCATTATGCAGAGAGGTGAAATGGATGTTTTTATTAGAGAACCTAAAGCTATTACTGTGAATCACAGCATCTCATCATAAGTTATTGGCATTTTAAATAATGCAGGAAATGTAGCAGCATAATGGGGATAAATTGTTTGTGGTCTTACAGCTTCATTCTTGCTCGGAAGTGCAGAAGATTGACAGGTCTCACAAGAGAAGAGAGGTAAGTACAAACCCTGGAGATCTGTGTGGAATTCAAGTTAAAATTTTGTTTTAAATGACCAGAGCAGGAAAAAAAAATAAATGCCCTTATTTGAAGGAAGTTGTCTGTAACTTGTGCCAGTAGGCTGACACTAAGGAAGAAGATACCTTGGTTTTGGATGAATGACCCACGGAATTCCCACATAGCTCTTGCCCTTTTGAAACTCTCTGTCCTGGTTTTTGTTGTCCAACAAGGCTTCTCTGTTCATGTGGCTCTTGCTAAGGAACAGCTCTAAGGTGCTGAATATGAAAGCAGTGTAGATATTCTGCTGGAAATTGTGCAGGACCAGCCTCCTCCCTCCACTGCTGCCTCCCTGGCTTCCTGCAGGTGCCCTGAGCTCTTGGAAAGCTTGTCAGAAGGGAAAGGTTTGCCCTCTGTGTTTGATTTTATCTTTCTTTTCTGTTCACCCTGGAGGGTCTTTTCAGTATCTGTAACTTAATGCAACTTGAACCTGGAGCTGCCATGAGCAAACTTCAGCATCATGAAGGGATCAGAAAGCTGCCTCCATCTCTGCACCCTCAGTGTGGGGAAAAAAATGCCCTTCAGGCACAGATGAAGGTCATTTTACTGTCTTGAAACAAATCTCTGCATGGAGTAGTGCTCTTTGGTATATTACTGAAATAGAATTTATAAAGTAATGATTTTTTTATTTTCCATCTCACTGATTCGCTGTATCTGATTAAATCAAAGCTGCAAGTAGAAACTGTGGATTGTGAGGAGAGCCTTGGTTTGACAGGGAGAAAATGCATTTGATTTTGAGGTATGATAAAGGAACACTGTGCCCAAGTAAACATTTTTACAGTAATAGCTGGTCTAACTAAAGATGCAGTCATCTCAGATAGTCTGGCAGTCTGTGGATAATGGTTCTGAACGGAGCTGTTTATGTCCCAGTCTTTTCAAATGACAGCCTGGTACCACAGAGCCCTTTTAATTTTGGCAGGAGTGGACAAGAACTGAGGCTTTGAGACAGAGGCCCAGCAGGTGCCAGGTAATAAAAGTCACATAGGTATTCTGAAACCCAGCGTGCCCAGAATTTTGAGCCATCCTAAACACCAAATGGTGTCTTACACTGTGTGTGAATACCCTCAATACAGCTGAGTGTTTGCAGTCTTTGAGAACAGCTTTTCTTTCTATGAAATTAGGGTTGTCCTGTCTGTTTGCAAGGCATCAACCTTTTCCCTGGGCATTGAAAGCACTGCCACAATTATCTGACTCTGCTGCTGCCAACAGCCAAGGTTTATACGAGAGTTTTGAAATCTAGCAGAATAAACCTTAGACTAGGAGGGCTTTGCTTTGGTAAAGGATGGTTCTGAAATAGCTGGCTGTCCCCTGGTGCAGGGCTGCCTCTGGCTCCAGTGGCCTTGGCCACAGCCAGAAAAGGCAGGAGCCTGCAGCTCCTGTCCTCCCCTAGGGCACAACTCTCCTTCCAGTGGAATTGGGGGTCCAGAAGAAGGCAGAACATGAACCCAGACCTTCTCCCCATGGTGCAACCAGTTTGTGTAATTTAGGTGAGGGCTGTGGTGCTTCAGGGAGGGATCTCTTTGGAGCACAGGCTTCTTGTGACACCCTGCAGAGGGTGTACCTTGCTGAGGTGCTGTGCTCACCTACTAACAAAACCTGGGCTCTCCATTGTGCTGAGGACAGGGTGAGGCTTTGGGCAATCCTTGGCTATGAAGAGTAGGATGTAGAGTCTGTGACAGCTATCCTAAGTCATGAATTGGAAGTTGTGGGAGAAAATGGAAATATTTTTACAGCTAAGCCAGGCTGAAGGGAGTAAATTTCACTGCTGCCTTCCAGCTGGTCTTCCCAGGCCAGGTGCCAGTGGTGAGATTGTGCCCTGCCTCTCACTGCTGTGGAGTAAGAGACCAAGAAAAGAGCTGAGTGTCTGCATGTGCATTTATTCCACACTGGGCACAGTGTGACTCCTAACAGGACCCAATTTTGGGAGCTCCAGGAATAACATTCCTCTTATTTAGTGCTTGTAGCAATTTCACAGCTGAGCCCAAAGCCAAGAAATGAGGATTTTACTCACTGCATATTCCATGTAGTACTATTATGTTCCATGCTAGCATTAACTATAAATCTCTTAATAAGAATTTCTTTAAACTTCTCTAGAAAAAAGTGGAGATCTTGCAGGGAGACCTGCAAGAAGCAAAGATTGCTCTTTCTAGGGGTAATGTCCTCAGTGATTGATTTATTTTGATACAATTCAATCCTTTAGAAACTGCTGGTCTGGTTTTTGTTTTGTTTGCTCATTTGGGTTTTTTCCTTGTCAAATAATACCCCATTACTGATGAATAATTCCTTCCAATGTCTACACTTCTTAAGAGTCTGAAGATGTCCTTGACCTGAAGCTTAATATTTTCCTTTGCACAGCTAACTTAAACTAAGTAATCTGTGTTTGCAATGTACTCAGCACACAGCTGTGAACTTGCACCTTTGTGGAGCCCTGCAGTTGGCCACAAGTGACAATACCTGCCTGTCACTGGTATGCCATTCCCAGGCTCCCTGGAGAGTCTGAAAGTCATTGTGGAAAAAGGACAGGGCACAGGCAGGTCTAGAGGGGTCCTTCTCATCCCTGCCATGGTGCTGTGAGGAGCAGAAGCAGATGGGTCCCAAGGTGATAACTCGCTTTCCTGTAGAGCCCTGTGGTGTTTCTGACCTGTCCTGAAAGGAGGAATTGATGGCATTTCTGAGAGGTGGTGGGCAGGCCTCAGCAGGGGCTTGGCTGGGTCCTGCTGTTGAAATGGTTTTGTTCTGTTCAGGCACTGGGTAGGTGCTGGTGATCTGCAGGGCACAGTGCTCACCACACTTACAGAGAAATTGGGAAATAATCCTTTTCCTTATGGCAGTTGCTGGATTTGTGTCACCCCTGAGTGCAGAAGACTGTTCATGTTCAGATCCTGGAGCTCTCTGAGCCTTTCTGGCCCATGAATCCTCCTGGAGCAGGCTGGCCCTTGTCCTCTGCCCCAGGACAAAAGGAAGGGGTCGTTTCCTTTTCCCCTTCTGCTGCTGGGCTTGACACCTGCCAGCAGCAAAACCACCCCAGGGCCACGGCTCTTCCTGAACTGTAGCAGCCTTCTCTTTCTTGCTCAAGCTCCAACCTGCATGTGAGAACACCTTCAAAGCCCTTCAAGTCATCCTGCTTCCCCTCATCCTCAGCTGCTCATGGGTATAGCTGGGCTCCTGTAGAGCTGGGCTGCTTCTTACAGCAATTATGTATGGTTTCCCCATGTGCTTTTTTAGCTGAAAGGGTACCCCTCACAGTTACAGAGCTGGGACTCCTGTATTTCTGTCCCCAGCATGGCGTTTTGTGGAGCACTGGATTTTCTTCCAGAAGTAAACGTCTTTCCAGAGCTGTGTTTGTTTTCCATAATGCTTATTTCATCCTGATCTTTTGGGAATTGGTGCAGCATGGCTAAGAGTAAGACCCAAGGGCTTGTAGGAACAAACTTAATTGCATTTTGGGTTGGCTACAGAATGAAGTATATTCAGTGATTTATAGACTCCTAAACTTAAAACTGAGGAAATTTTATATAAACAGAAATTAAGTACTGATTCCCTGAGAGCCACAGTATGTTAAGACCTGCATCTTTGTAGGAACAGACTGTAAGTTAGACTATGTGCCAAGACAAAAAAATGCAATGCCTTACTACTTTTTTTCCTGACAGCCTGGAGACCATTTGGCTAATTTGGGGGTTTGGGCTGCTGGAGTTATCTTAAGAGAACAGCTTGTAAAACTGCTGGAAAACCAGCACTTATGCAGCACAGGAGCTTTGGTTATTTCTAGTGCTCCAGAGGCTGATGAATTGGGATAGATCCTAAAAAGCTGGAACCTCAAATTCAAGCAGATATAATACTTGTCCTCTTAGAAGTAGGGTATATTAGAAATGATTTGTTTTCTCTTTCCTCACACTGAAATCTTCTGTTGCATTTGTCTCGCAGGAAGACGAGGCTGTGTGAGCTCTATGCAAAGGTGCTGGGATCAGAGGAAGCTTTACACGTAAGCACAAAATCTCTGGGAAAAGTACCTTTGGAAAAAGTACCTGCTATGGGAGCACTTGCAGCCCTCACTAGAGGAGTGGAGAGAAGATTATGGCAATTATTGTGCTGTGTTTGACAGTGAGGATAAGAATGAGCATTGTAAAGATTGATGGAACATTAAAAGATGTTTTTGTTAATATATTCTTGTCCTGGTCCTTGGGTGGGATTCTCAGTGCCTGCCACCATAAACCTCAGCTGCTGTCACACTTTGACAGGCTTGCTTTCCCTCTCTGTCCTTGTTGTGTCTTCTTTCTTACTAGTTGTTAAGATCCACTGCTTCATGTGCTGGGTTGTTTTTCTTTTGCCTTTCTCTTGCCTTCTCTTCCCTGTAAATGTAAATGATTGTTAGGCCTTGTTGATCTCACACTTGGATTATGTGATTAACGCCACTTACACTTTTAAGAACAATTTTACAGGGTTAAATGTTGTAGACACCAATCTGGAGAGCACATGATTTTCCACACAATGATCCTGTACACAGAACCATGCAAGTGCCACACTTTGCATTTTTAACTGTGTACATTTGTACCCAATGTCACACTTTGCATTTTTAACTGTGTACATTTGTACCCAATGTATACATCACGAGTATGACAATTATATACACCAGAGGTTAATTTTGCTTCACGTGGCTCAAAGCATAAATGTGTGCACAAAGCATAAATTAACATTGACAGATTAAGAGGATTATGTTCTACAATGGCCAGATTAACTATTTTTTTAGACAGTGTATTCCCATTTTTAAAAAATTAGGGCTTATTGTGTTGCGTTCATGCTGCATTAAGAGACTTGTTAAATGTGCTCATCTTGTCAGACATTAAAATGCAACAAATGATGAGCTGTTCTTCTCTGCTCTCTCCTCAGTTCTGTTATTAACTTCCTCGTGACTTTGTCCTTTCCCTGAGTGAATTAATCTCTGTTTTACAGCCCGTGCATTATGAAGAGAAGAACTGGTGTGAAGAGCAGTATTCTGGGGGCTGCTACACAGCCTACTTCCCACCAGGCATAATGACTCAGTATGGAAGGTACAGTGTCTATTTATAGTGGGCTTTGGAGTGGTAAGATAAGACCAAGTTAATAAATATCCTCAGAAAGGGTCATAAATCCTCTGTCACTGTTCGCTTTATACCTTTAAGATCACTGGGGGATGTTTTAAACAGATGGGATAACCTTCCACTTGTCTCCTTTGGGCTTTATGATGGATGAGTACAGTATCATTAGAGCTTTTATCCACTCCTGTTATTGGGTGAGTTCAGCTGAGGAGGTTCTGGGAAGGGAGTTGGGAAGCTTCCCCAGCCTGCTTACAAAAATGGCTTTGGGTGTTTGACATCAGTGTAACCATTTCAAGCATGCCTTTAGCTGCTGATTTAAAAATACTGACAGAGAGTTAGTTCTTGCCAACATTGCTAGCAATGAGCAATTTCTTTGGACCTTTCTTTTTAGCAGTGGAAGCTTAATATACTGATCGGGGTGCTGTTGTATACAGTCCTCTCCCACTCAAGTTTTTGCATGAAAATAAGATTTACCAAGAAGAAAAAGACTTATTTCAGGCTGGTGATTTGATTTAGATGCACAAGTTTTAATGTGGTAAGAGAGCTGCACTTTTGATGTTTAAGTTCTTATAATTTAAAAGTAACTTAGAGTAATAAAGAAGTTGTGACAACGATCTTATGGAGGCTTCAGTATTTGAAGTAATTAAAATGATAATTACTGCAGATTCTGGCAAAAACAGAGTTAAAACAATATTTTTTTGTTTATTTACCTCTTACTTCAATTATTATGGTGATATATTTCAGAATGCTGCACTGTGCCAGTAATGCCTGGCATTGGTATTATGCCATGGGCTGGAACTGTGGGATAGTATAAATCTCATCTCAAAACAGCTGTCCTTTTCACCTACAGTTGTCATTTTCACCTATGAACAGTGTAAACATTTAAAAAATATGAACACTGGCGTGTTCACTGTAAGAAATTAAATGCAACCCAGACTCCTCCTCCAGCTCCACTCAGCCAGTGCTATTATCTTCAAGTGCTTGCTGTCATTTAAAACACTTTAATACCAACATTAACCCAGCTATTTCAGTTCTTTCCTGATACAGCTGATGAGAGTTTCTGCTTGTCCCCCTCCAGGATCATTCGGCAGCCCGTTGGCAGGATCTATTTTGCTGGCACAGAGACAGCCACTGAGTGGAGTGGATACATGGAAGGGGCTGTCCAGGCTGGAGAAAGAGCAGCCAGAGAGGTACAGATGCTCAGGGGACACTGTAAAATGTCCTGTGGAAAAGGAAAGATCTTGTGGTTGGGGGGAAATGAGAAGTGTTGACAGCTTCAGGTGTTCTGAATCTTGATGCAAATCCCTGCAAAGGGGATTGATTTCAACAAGAATGAAGGTTTTGCACTTAGATTTGGAACGCTAGGAAGGGCTCTGGCTATTTTGTCAAACTCTCCCCTTGTTTCTAGGACTAAATAATTTCTTCTTTTACAAAAATCCCAAATTCTACCCCAGTCATTTTTCTCCCAAATCTATGAATCATCCTGCTGTGAGATCCTGGCTGATAGAGCATGGGAACAGCTCAGTGCTGCAGCTCTGCACAGCAAGCCTGGTCCTTCCTCAGACTTTCCAACACAACAGTCATGTTCCACTGAGACAGCCTTGACACAGAGTCACTAAACAAGGACTTAGACATTTTTCTTCTGAGAAAATGCCAATTCCCTGAGTATTTTCAGGAACATTACAGTTTATTGAGCAGCAAAGGAAATTTAATCTTTGTTTTATGAGGTGAAGGGAACCTTGTGGTTAAAAACTATTCAAGGAACACAAATTATCCTGGGAGAAATGTGGTGAGTTCATCTAGCCCATACCCCTGCCCCAAGAGACAGAGATCAATTGTTCATAAATGATCCCATTTGAGAAAGTTATACCTAAGGTGCTCCTGAAAAGCTCCAGAGGCCTCAAGACTTCTCTAATGTGAGGACATTACAGCAGAGCTTCTATAGGCCTCACAGAGGAGCAGATAAGTGCACTTGGTTGGTAAAAAATTTGATGTTTTCCTTTCCTCATTTACTTATGAAAGGAAAACATGTTGAAAATTCGGTGCTTCTCACTCTCCTTCATTGAAGAGTTGACAGGGCCCATGAATCTTGTCTACACTAAAAGCTCCTCATAAAAGATGTTAAATCTACAAGTCCCTGGAATAGAAAAAACGTTATTATCACCATCTCCATTCTACTTCACTGTAGAAGCAGCTAATCTTGCTGTCTTCCCTGAATATAATTTCAAATAGTCTTTGCTAGTCATCTCTGCTGTCTTTGATACTTTGGTAATTTTCTCATTGTGAAGGTTTTTGTTCTGGTTTTTGCTTTTCTCTGTCTGAGAGTAGTGGTCTGTCATCCCTCCCAGGGTGCTGTTCCTCTTCCTACATCATGATAAAATTTGAGAAAACAAGCTGTTCCTTGTAGCTGGTGTCTTCATGCCTCACTTTGCCATGAGTGTCTGCTTAACTCTTAGTCATAATCACATTATCCTGTTCCCCTGGGACTGGCCAAATTCCAGTATCTTGCATGGACTAGCTAAGCATAAAGAGATTTTTCTGTTACTGTTTCTATGTTCCACCAGGAGGAAGGTCTTATGAAATATCAGCCCTCACCAGAAATAAGTTTTAAAAGGTTGAGTTTTCTTCTAAAATTTGAATGTGATTTGTATGTGATTTATGTACTCAGTCATTATGCCATTTTTAAACAACAGTTGAAGCCAGGTTGCTTTTTTTCTGTCTTGAAGAATCAATGGTACTTACTGAGAATGTCATTTATTTTCAGATACTGTTTGCTATGAGAAAAATCCCAGACAGTGAAATTTGGAAGCCAGAACCTGAATCAGTTGTAAGTATTTATGTAGTTAAATAGATTGGGTTTTTTTTCTGCTGTTTTGCTAATGAGATAATTTTTTTTTGTCTATTTTTATATAAGTTCACTAAATCAAAGCCACAATAAAATTCCCCTTATTCACCAAAATCTCCCTTCCCTGAAAAAGGAAGAGTTTAGAAACCCACCTGACAAATCTGTAAGGCAGGACTGGAAAGATCTGCACTTCTTAACTGGGCTATGGATCCTTTCCATGTGTTTGTTCTTCCCTTTAACTGAGCAGAAAATCTGGATATGCTTCTTCTTGATAAGATATAACTGCTTCAGCCCAGTTCTGCTCCTGCTGCAAGAATCTCTCCATTTATATCCCTCCTCTCACAGTGGAGATGTTATGTGGGTAATGGATGCTCTCCCCACAGGACGTGCCACCTCTGCCCATCACTACAACCTTCTGGGAGAGGAACTTGCCATCTGTGCCAGGACTGCTAAAGCTGATTGGATTTTCCACTTTCTTCACCTCTGTGGCTGCAGCTGGGTTATTTGCCTTCAAAAAGGGACTTCTGGTTCGAAACTGAAAAAAGGTGCTGACTCAAAGCCTCACGATTGAGGGATTTTCTTTTTTTTTTTTTTTTTCAGAGGTTTTATTTTGTCATGTACTTTCTGTCTCCAGAATGTGAGGAAGAGGTGAAAACAGTAGAGAAAATAGGCTGGAGGGAAGGGATATAGTAAAGGGAAAAAGAACCCCTAGAGTCCAGGCCTACTTCTAGCAATACCTTTTTGGTTGTTGAATTTCCAGGGTACCAAGTGTTATCACCTTGAGGTCTTGTTCCAGATCTCAGAACAGAAGTGAAAAAAATACCTCCCTAAAACCTATTCTGATGAGATTTCTGGTTGTTTTACATCAGAACCAGACCCCAAACTACACATCTCCACAGGCCCTATTTGTACTGTACTGTACAACAAAATCTCTAGTTGTAAACAAAGGATTTCTGCCTTCCTCTGTGGTAGGCTGAGAAAAGAAATCCATAGCTTACAGAATAACCAGACAGTTCATGCAAATCACTGGTAAGAAGCTCTTAGTGTTTTTATTTCTTACCCAGATGTCCAGAGCCCAGGGAGCACATAAGGGACAAGCCAGGCTTAATTTATCCATCTGAACCGTGCAAGGGCAACCACAGGATGCTGGCATTTCCAGTGCCATATATGTCCTACAGTGAGCTAAAAGACAGTGTTTGGCAATGTGGGTGAATTTCAGGCTCCCCAGATGTGTTCACAGCTGCCTGGCACAGCAGAGCTCCTGTCCAGTGGGGTCTGTCCCTGCGAGCACCTTGAGGCTGTCTCTTGCCTGCTAGGGCACAATGGGCCTGAAAACGTAGTGTTAGTATTAAACAAACAAAATAAAATAAAATAAAATAAAATGAAAAACAAAACAAAAAAACCAACAAAAAAACCAAACAAAAAACCACCTTCTCTGCCCCCAAACTCTTCCTTCATGCTGAACACAGATTTGCTGATTCAGAGTTTTGGTCTTTCCTAACAAGCATATTGATGGAATTAGCACTTCCACTTCTGCCTGCTGCTTGCACTGGCGATGCACTTTTGATAAATAATCAGGGATCTAAATGTAGTAACATCAAAGAGAACTGTGGATTCCAGAGTCACATGCAAGTGCTTCTGTTCTCCATAGCTTAGTACTGTTCAGACAATGGAAGGAAAAAAAGGGAAGATGTAAAGAAGGCAGTATGCAGGGCTGGGGGAGAAGTAAAAAAATTCTGCCTTCCAAAACCTCAGAGCCTGCTTGTCAGTGTGTTGGTACCTTGTTCTAGATATTTCTGGTGTGTTACCTGTGCACAAAACAAAAAGGAGGACACAGGTATGGCTGAGAGCATGATCTGGTGCACATGAAGTTGGAGATGTCTGGAATTTTTCAGAGCCTGTTTGCTGCACTTCTCCCTTCAAGGAGTAGCAATTTATATGTAAAAAATATTGGATTGCAGTAAAGAGCCGTGGAGGGAAGTATAATAATAAATTCAGCAACTGGTGTGAGCAGACGGTGGAGGAGCTGTATCACCAGTCTCAGGCAGACTCTTTGGGCTAGCAGCTGATCTTGCTTGTGTAGAGCAGTACTTTGTTCTCCAAGTAGTCCCATGGAAATTTACTGAACTGCTTGGAAAGCTGTAACATTTGTGAGCAGCACCTCGCTTTCTGGCCCTTAGGTTTTGTTCTTTTTAACTTGATGTGCCAGTTAAACATCATCTTGTAGCAGCAGCTTGGATTTTATCACAAATGAATTGCCTCATAACAGCCTTTTAAAATGCATGGGGGAACTTTTCAGGCATAAAGATCTTTAAGGCAGAAGAAGAGTGCAGCAGTGTACATATGGCCTCTCTCATTGTATCACATCGAGCTATAATTTGCTGGGACATTTGCCTACTGCAGAGCTTCTGCGTGGCTTTCCCTGTGATTTATTTACTAGATGAATTAGGAACTGAAAGCTGAATGGGAAGTTCAGAGCTTTTGCAACTAACACAATTCTCAGGCCAGAAATAAACACAGGAACCTAAATTTGGGAAGACATTTTTAAATTCTTGGCCCCAATATTTTTAAGTGCTAGATAGTGAATGCATACATTACATATAAAGAGTTGTTGTATTTGCAGATGATTTTTCTGCCAAAACTGCTTGGAATTCAGGTCCTGCTTCTGCCCTAGAAATACTCCACATTCTCTAAAGGGGAGCAAATTCATGAAACTAATGAGGATAAATCAGTTTTGTTCACATTCAAAATGCATTTCTCTCTTCTTTGCTCCTGAATCTGGCAGAAATTTTTCCCAGTTTAACAAAATCATGTTGTGTGCCACAGGGGGAGAAATTCCAATCAAAACCAGAAATTAGATAGTTAGAACTGAACAGAATCATAACCTAAGCTTTCCATGAGATTGGCCAATTTAAAACAAAAAAACAACCTCAAAAAGTTTCTATACTTACCTTTCTTATTCTTAGTTTCAAAGCAAAAGAGAAATGGAAAAACAAATAAAGCAAACCCACAAAGCATTTCTCATCTTATTCTGCCCCAGTAGGAGAGGCAGGGAATCTCCAAATAACTTTGGATTCCCTGAGATTTCTAATCAAATCTGGTTGGAGCTGTGAGGTCTGAATTGTGACATTTGTATTAACACTCTGAAGTCTCTGTGTTCTTCCTTGCAGACTGCCAAAGCTTTAGGAAAGCTCTCTCTGTCTTTACAGCCGTGTCTTGCTGTGATTGTGCTGAGGACCTTGCCACCACTATGGGATTAAAGAAAGGATTTGCCACTGTTTTCTCAACATTTTCCACACAAAAGGAATACACAGCACCTTGTGTACATGGATGCCAGTGTGATGAGGGAATTGAGGCAGAGAATCAAGCTGCTTCCCTATGGGTAGAGGGAACTGTTAGCACCGGCTTACATTTTTGAAATTAAAATCCATGCCAACCCTTTGAAGAGAGGAATGAAGTCTGTTTTAATGGATAACCAGTTGTGCTGTATTCTTCATTTATTAACCCATTTGATGAAACAACTGGTATCATGAAAGTTCCAAGAGTTTACCAGCTTTGTAAAATATACAGTAGGAACAACCGTGGAAATAACTGTATTTGTCTATTACGGACTGAACTGTGTTACCATGCAGATTTTGTAATGCTCTTAAGAGTTTAAAAAAAAAAAATAGGAAATTTACTTTCTTGTACACTGTTCTGATAGCCACTGTACTTTGCAAGGAATGACATGTCATGGCATAGAAATCTGTGTTAACAAAAGTACTTGAAATCTAATTGTATAAACTACTCAACAATAACAAGGATGTAAGCAATCTGAGGCAGCCCCCTTGTCTTCCATTTAATTTGTGCATTTTTTTCCCCCAGTGCAGATCTTGATTCCAAATCACAAAATCTGATTCCAAATAGCACATCTGCTCTCAATAAGAAGACATTAATCAGGTAATTAAGTACCTCGCTGAGCACTGTTCATCAGTGGAACCCATGGCCTGAACAAGAAACTATGAGGCTTAAAGAAATCTTTGTTTCCACAGTGGGACTGTTGTTTCACTGAAGTAGGCTTTACAGATGTGCAGAAATTTTAAGGTTTTTTTTTTTCTACCTTTTTTGAGACATGAAAAAGTAATATTTTTGAGGAAGAAGGAATTGGGTGACCTCCAGAAGTACTAGGGAGTCAAGATTAAATAACAGATCTGCTCTTGGGTAAGAAGCAAACCCCCCCAAATCACAGGTGACAAACGTTCACAAATAAACCTGACCTGTGTTCAGGTGATCTAACAGTCC